CATGGACAGAAGCTGCGCCTATTGAAGAAAGGGCAGATGAGACAGATATAGCTGAAAACGCAGAATCTGAAGTTGATGAGGATGAAGAAGACGAAGAAAAAAATGAAGAAGAAATTGGAAGCAGTGAAGCAGAAAACGAGGAAGAAGAAGACTGATTATACAGATAAAACATAAGCAAAATTATGAAGTAGGGAAATAGGAAGTAGAGATAGGATGAAAAAATAGAGTAAGAGATTAAATACAGTAAACAAGGAGGGATGGAGAGAAATGACAGCTAAGAGGAAACTAGTGTTGACCTCATAATTCTAGGGGAAGATAGAGAATATGAATTACTATGAAAGAAGAAGAATCAGAAACATTCTTATCGACGGAAGAAGCCGCCGAAGGGATTTTAAAAAAGTACGAGCTGCAAAAAGAAGGCATATGGGTATACAAAAAATAAGTTGGACTAAACTTACCTGTTGGAGCCATGATCAACAAATAACCAAATTATGAAATTTGGTGGCCCGATTGTGGTCATAATTAAACTATGTAATTATAAGAATAAGCACATTTTTTAAAATATTATTTTATTTTTTGCATGTATATACAAAACCACCAACCAGGGACGGACTACAATACAAATTCGAGGGAAGGCATTGTAATAGAAGGACCTAGCTCTGGACTGAGCAGGGGCTAGGAACTTCAAACCAGAAGAAACAAATGGGTATGGACCAATGAACAAGAAAGAAGCATAACAAACCAGGAAACGACACTTAGACCGTGGGACCGTACACCCCACGATCTAGCTGACCAAATCGCAAGGAAGTACTTGGAGCCAGAACCAATCCACTTGAAAGGCAGAATACAGCACAACGAACAAGAAAGAAGCATAACAAACCAGGAAACGACACTTAGACCGTGGGATCGATATCACCCCACGATCTAGCTGACCTACCAAGAAGTATTTGGAACCAGAACAGACCCACAATACAGAAAACAGGACCGGACCAAAAGAAAAAACCCATGGCTGAAGCGATGATGTTGATGAAATTTCTTAGTTGCAAGCTATTTTTTTTTTTGTATTAACCTGAATAATAATGCACCCTCACCCATCCCACCATAAAAAACTTTTGTTAATTTTAATTTTTATTTTTAATTTTTTTCTCTATACGCGATATTTGGATTATATACTTAATTGTTAAGCATCAGGGATATTTTATAATTAGGCTATTATTGTAAAGAAGGGATATTTTTAGGATAAGGATATTATTGTATTTTTTTGACATTATTATGGTATTTGTATATATTTTGTTGTAAGTGTCTCTTCCAAGCATTGGGGTCCAATGCTTCATGGAGGGGGGGCATATGTCAACTAGCTGCTTAGGAAAGGAGGACCCGGTATTCAACCTTATTAATTTAATTGCCGATTCGATCGAATGTTTATTGCAATTCAGCAATAAATTAATATAAATTGCGCTGCAAGCCGCAGCAAAGGTAGACTTAAACCAGTGCAAGTACCTCTCGTTGGAAAAGCCCCTCTGGAATTAAGTCTCCCCAGTGCAAGTACCTCTCGTTGGGAACGCCCCTCTGGGTATCTTCAGCCTTATCGTTGTCCAGTGCAATTACCTCTCGTTGGGAACGCCCCTCTGGACAAGGCATAAGGGTGACGATAAACTTATCTACAGTCCCCCAAGCAGAATTGACGTGTGGCCCCCTATAAGGACCCCAGTGTACGAAGGGTCATGTACCTTATAGGATTAGCATACATGTAAGGTTATATTTGGGAAAATATATAGCATATATTTTTATATAACCTGAGCGAGTTTCTCTCCATCTACCCCCAAAGCTACAAACCCCCCATGTCACCCCCGTAAAGCGGGTAGTTGTGACAATATTTTGAACGAGAATGCGATAATAATAGCCCTTAAATGCTGGTAGGTGGGTGTGATCAAATAGGAATTTCCAATTTGAACTTTATTTTCTCTCATTTTTAGCGCGTAGCAGAAGCTTTGAACTTAAGTATGTCCACTGTCTGTGCTATTTCAAAGAAAGTCAAAAATAACGAAGTTTTGGAATCGCCTTCTAAGAAGCGACGCACTTCGAAGAGAGTCTGTGATGTTTCAAAGTTCGATAGCAGTGCTATACGTAACACCATTTATGATATGTATACAAAAAGTAAATCGTCTGAGATAAGGTACATAGATATCTATGAATCGCCTTCTTTCTTCTTGTAGAACAACATGTAACATTATTTTGTATTTGGGAGCAATTGAAAGCCAAACAATTATATGATGGCAGTCACATGTCATTGAGTAGAATGTTAAAAGAAATAGGCTTCAAATGGAAAAAAGATGACTGAAGACGAGGGCTCATAAAACTGCCTGATATTGCTGTTAAACACATATCATTTTTGAGGTCTTATCTAAGACTTAAGCAGGAGGCTTTGTACCAGTTTGTTTTCTTTCATGAATACAGAGAGCAGTTGTATTATATGTGTAAATGAAATGCTTTTTTTAGATATATCACACTTCATACTGGCAATGAAAATAGGATTCATTGAAGGTGTATCGCTCGTATTATCATCGAAAACTCAACGACTATCATGGGAAAATCAGAATCAGAATAATTGAAAATATTCTTGATGGTCCAAATATTCATAATGTTTAATTATTTATAGTATTTAGAGTGGCTGTAAATAAAAAAGGTACTGAGCGTTACTATTATATTTTAAGTGATGATTGACAAATGAGTTGTTATTGGATATCTATCAAACCAAGCTTTGAATCAATGTTTATAATTTAGGTATTAAATAATGTTTGCATTATATTATAATATAATCCATTATTGTTTCTGAAAATATTTTGACCAAAGGAAAATATGCAAGAGGCGGCAACGCTGTGCTGACCGAGCTTGACAACCCAACTATAAGTTTATTTGGTATGAACTATAGGTAATGTTTCGAGTTACGATGAGATACCACTGAGAGCAACCAATCAGAAAGTTTCGATTAGAAATGTATACATATATGCCTATAAAAGGTTCGATTTCCATGATAAAAACTACTCATAAAAAAGAATTAAGAACATACATGCTCAAACTCTACGCCAATGACGCCACACAGTAAACCACAATAATTTTTTGGAGATTTTATTTTCCTATCCCCATCGAATTAATTGAAACGGGCTTACCGACTATGTCCTAACTGCTTCGATGCTTCGACTCAAGCTGGGTTCTTCAATTTTTTTTTATTTTTGGGTTTTTCGATTTTTCCACAGGATGCTTCGTTCTGAATCCGCTCGATGGGACCAAAATGTTGGGGTTTTCGATGATTTCGATTTTCGAAGGACCAGTCAAACAACTAGGTTTGACAAAAAACGATTTTATTCTGATAAAGATCTCGATAAAAATGGACTGTGAACGTGTGTTAACGATTTGACAAAGTTCAAGAATAATAATGACAAATAATGACAATTGGAAACGCCATAATTAATTATCCCATGGTTACAAAAATCCAGGAACCATGATAAAATGTTTTTGTGGGTGCGCTCGGAATGGAACAGGGTCCTTATTAATCCCTCAAAAATCGCACTTTGTCGCATTGGTGGAACTTGGAAAAAAATGGCCGCCATCTTGATTTTTTTGGAATTTATTGAATATTTCGTAAAGTATGCATTATATCAAAAAAACTCAAGAGAACTTTTTTGTGGAGAATCAAAAGTTACCTATATCGAAAAAAAATTCAAGAGTATTAACTGAAAAACGTGAAAGTTATTGACATTTATTTCATTTGGCAACATGGAATTTTTCAAAACATCTAAAAAAAACTCAGATAAATATGTTTTTTTTTTTGTGCAGAATGAAAAACTACATTTAACGGAAGAAAAATTCAATAAATTTAAAAATCTAAATATTTTTGTTGAGAGGGAGCAAAAACACGTATGACAAGAGAAACATTCGGGCATATGGAAATAGTTATTATCCTAACAAGTGCGGAAAGTTACTTTCCGTAAGAGTTAGGATCTAGATTTTTTTTACAAGCATACACTTCAAATATTTTTTTCAAATTTTATTCTAATAACAATCCGAGTAACAATCTAAAAATTTCAAATTTATTCTGAGTATGGAATATGGATACTAAAAGTACAGTTCGTTTCATTAACTTAGATAACATTTTAATCAGATGTTTTCCTGTTGCAGAAGAAAATAGGTTATTTTTTCAATTTCTCTTTCATGTCATTTTAACACATTAATCTTATAGAACAATCTAATAATGAAAAACCAAAGCTATAAGGTTTGCACTAACTGAAAGGTTTGAAATAAGGCCGCGATCTTGTGAAATAATATTCGGTTGCTGATCATTTTCTCACTTATGGCAATCGACAGAATCAAATTTGATATCGTTAGAAAACAGAAAAAAAATTCCCATAAGTCGGTCAGCTGTTGAAGCTGCTTGAAAAAGTGCTTCTAAAAAGTTTTTACGGAAATCAATAATTTTCATAAACAAAAAAGTTATGATGGTTTCACATTATTGCTCAAAATCGAGAATCGCCCTCTAGCGGCTAAACGGATGAAGATATCAAAATGCGCTTTGCACCAATCAACATTTCATGAAATTTGAGCCTCAGAGTGAGGGGTTCATTTTTTTGTATCTCGCTCAGAAATTGATGTTTCCTATTAAAAGTGTCCAAATTGGCCCACCCTGTACAGTGGCTAATAATTTTACAATTTTCCCTTTTTGCCACAACTTTGTTAACAATTTAATAATTTGATAACAATTAATAACAACTGTTACCGCGACATATCCCTTTGACAACAACTTATCATCAGACATACAAATTTTTCAAGGGAGTGCGTTTTAAAACACTACAAGGTTGAGCACCTTTAATGTTACATGTTACCAACTGACAATATCAAAACACATCATCTCGGCCACATGACGAATGATGAAGACGCCGTTCCTCGCATCAGCTTGACCTAGGTCTTTTTATTTGGGTCACAAAATAAATAAATTTTAACTTTATCAAGATCCTATATTTTATTAAGTACCAAGACTCGAGTTTATAACAATTCTCAACAAAATTTTAAGAGTCATTGATAAACCTCAAAACAGTATGTATTTACTCATGTTCTAAGTCAAGTAAAAAAAATACTGGCTATTTATTTGCTAAAGATAGGAATTATATACAATATCTTACAATAATAAAAAGGAAAGGTAAATTCATTTTCGGATAATGAAAGCTGCAAAATATTCAAATAAGGCATATCTAGAAAATTAGAGTACCATAATATATCATATTTTTCTATAAAAAGTTTTGTAAAAACACTAATCATAATTTTTTGTTCTTATATAATACATATGTTCAATATCTAGAACACTGTTCTGTTTTCAATGTCTCACTAATCTCATCACTGTCACTGGTTTTCGAGCCAGCTAACTATTATACCTTAAAAGCCCCAGGCGTTTCAGTTTTCTTAGGTTGATAACCATACAAAAATATTGAACAGATTACAAAAGCGGCCCCAAAAACAAATTGCCCGCTTAACTGAAAGTCAAAAATATAAATTGAACCTATACAAGCGAAAACTATAGCTAAAGAGGTAGCGAAACCTTTCAAAATATTATCGGCATATTTCACTACAACTGCTACAATTAAACCACCTCCAGCTTGCAAAATTATCAAATAATGAACAAATTTATCATAACCAAAGAAAAATCCTTTTTCTGCTATTTGTCCTCCATCGTATGTGTAGCAAGAAATTAATCCTAAAGGAATTGAGCATAGCGACAATTGAACATTACGCATCCAAACAGTTACGTCACTTCCTTTGAGAATTTTCTCAAAGTAGACTCCAGCAAAACCGGAAAGGGCGCAGGCAGTTAAAGCAGCCATAAAACCTGAAAAAGCAATTAGAAAATGTTTTCCTATATTAAATAAAGTGATAACTCACCAATAAATCTGTTTTGTCCCTCAGCATTTTTAGAAGTGCTATGTTCGTGTCCCTGGGCCATTTGTACCAAAACAACTCCAATAATAAGAGTTAGCAAAGAAAGCCATTGTGTTTTCAATAGACTTCTTTTTAATATAAATACCGAAAAAAGTGCTGTAGTTAAGATTTTTAATTGATAAGTAACCTAAAATACAAAATATTCTTGTTAGTAAATTTAATACTTTTGAGAGGTTGTTTTAAAACTCACTTGGTAAGTTGCAGCATCCAAGTGCGACGCGGAAACATACAAAAGATTATTTTGAATCAAATATACCAGAGATGGGATGCATACTTTGAGTGTGTCTAGGGGTTGTCGAACGATTTGCTTATTCAGAATGTCTAAAAGGCCTACAACACCACCAGCTTCCAAATAAACTAGCGCTATACAAGTAATTAGTTTTACTACTTCTGACATGAGGACAGCTAAAATGGACAGAAAAAAAAAAGTTAGCCAATATTACTGTACTGATAAATATTGAAAATGGGTAAGGTAATTAAATGAAAATATCTTTGTATCAACTTTACCTGTAGAAGAAATAAACATGTCCCCATCTCTAATCCTACTGTATCTCATGCTGAGTCCTAGAATAGCATTCTGTAATGTGAGTGTTATTAAGCTCACATACTTAAGTGTGCTTGTGGAATCTAAAATAAAGAAAGCAAATGTTAAATTATTGTTCTCAGAGTACTCAAATTTTTTTCTTGTATAAAACTTTTTGGGTAAATAGGAAATTACATATACTAGTTACTGATATTGAATAATCTTTTGAAGCTTAAATTTATTTATTTATTTACCAACCAGGTGTATCGTAATTTTTACGGTCTCTTTATTCTTCCTCGCTATATTTTTTGATGTTATCTATTCTTGTTAGCGCCGGTCTTCCTCTCTTCTTCCTGTTCGATGAAACATACATCAATGCTCTTTTTGGCCTCTACTCTTCCATTCTCATAAAATGACCATGACCATGCTGTTGGGTGTCTATTCTTTCGGTGATTCTATATATTCTTCTTGTTCTTCGAATTTTAGCGTTCTATAATATAATATACTCCAGTCTTGAAAGCCTGCCCATGCCCGTGTGAAAAAGTCTGTTTCTACTGCCTTTTATTTCGTTTCATTTGCCGGCATTCGGCTCCACAATTGCTCTCTAGTTTGTCTTTTTTGTTTTCATAGAAATCTGACTACTCCAGAGTAAAGAATTCAGAATGTCAACGCATTTTTTACCTGATGTTACTCTGTTATTTATATCTGGCTCTGATGTTCCCTCTGTTGATATCGAGATTCCCAAGTATTTATACTCCTCGCACTTTCTCAGATCTCTTAAGCTAAGATCCGGGTCTTCATTATCATCTCCAATACAAATATATTCTGTCTTGCTTTGGTTTATTTTCAACCCTCACTGTTCATATTCATTCTTAAATTTTCTATACATGTAATCCAGGTTCTGGGTTCGGAATCCAGCCTGTTCCTTTGGTTGGAAAACTTCGAGTTTTCGCTCTAATCTGTTGGTGATTATTCTGGTGAATAATTTATATATTTGTGATAGTAAGCTTATCGGCCGGTAGTTTTCGAGATCAGTCGGGTCACCTTTCTTGTAGATCAGAACAACTACAGCATTCTCCCAATCTTCGGGTATATGTTCTTCTGTTAGGCACTTATTGGATAGTTTCTAGAGGTGTCAGAAAAGTAACTATTCGTTACTCGAGTACTCGTTACTTGCCCGGATCCGAAATTACGAATACAAAAATCGCCGCCGCTATAGTTATTTGAGTACTCGAATCGAAATTCTTTATGCGTATTGCGCACCAAGCTTATACCAAATAATATTGTAATAAATATTATTATCATCATACATATTTTTGTTTATTCAACCTTCGACCAGATTCAATAATATATTCCAGTCAGAACGAGTATTTGAGTAACAAATATTTAGTAACGAGTACATTACTAAAAAGCAACGAATAGTTATGAGTAGTCAAAAGTAACTGTATTTTACATCTCTAAAGTTTCACTAGTTCTTGTCTCGTCTTGGTATCGCTTTTCTTGAGCATTTCAGGCAGAATGTTGTCTTCTCCTGCCGCTTTACCATTTTTCATCTGAGATAACCCTTTCTCCAGTTCTTCCATATTTATGCCGGGCATTTCTTCTGAGTTTGCATTTACTATTCGTATTTTGTCTTCTCTTGTCCTTGTGTTTGCTATTTTAGATTCGTACAGATCTCTATAGAAAGATTCCACAACTTCTATTATCTGTTGTCTGTCTTCTACTATGTTGTTTTTTGCATCTTTTATTTTTGTTATCTCTTTCTTAGGTGTGTTATGTCTTTTAAATATATTTAGTCCTTTGTTCTGTTCTAATAGGGATTGCACTTGTTTCGTTTGATGTTTTAGTATATTCTGTTTCGCCATTTTTCTTGCTGTTTTGTTGGATTCTGTCGAGGATTCTGTGTATTCAATAGTGTCTCTTTTACCCTCCGTTATCTTTTTTCTCCTTTTCTCTAGTAGCTGTTCCGTTTCTATCGACAATTTGTCCGACGTTTTCTCTAGGGGAACTATTATCTGTTCTGCTGTTTCTGTTATAATTTTTGTTTTTCTCCTATTGTTATCATCTAATGACTCTTCTGTTTTTCCTGGAATGTTGGAAAAGTTTTCTTTCAGCTTTTGTTTGTATGTTTCCCTTCTTTCTGCTATCTTTTCTCTACTTCCTCTCTTCGTTGTTTGTTTCATCTTTCTTTTTCTTTCCATTTTTGAGTTTATGAGCAGTTTGCATCTCACCATCCTGTGATCACTGCCGGTGTTGAATTGATTGACTACATCTACGTTTTGGATTATGTGTTTATGGCGGGAGATTATAAAGTCAATCTTATTTTTGGTTTGTCCAACTGGGCTATTCAATGTCCATTTACGTTTCTGTTTCTTTTGGAAGAAAGTGTTCATCAGATAGAGTCTTTCTCTTTCTAAGAAGTTTGCTAACATTCTTTCCCTTTCATTTCTGGTGCCGAGTCCGAACTGTCCTATGTGTGTTTCCGTTGGTTCTGCTCCTCTGCCTATTTTGCATTAAAGTCTCCTCCTAGAATAGTGTGCGTCGTTGGGTTCTCTTTTATTGCTCTCGCTATGTCTTCGTATACCATTTACACCTCGTCATCTTCATGTGAGGAAGTTGGAACATAAGCTTGTATATATTTAAGCGGTTCTCTTCAAAGCTAGCTATTGCTACCTGATCATCTGCAAAGAATAGTGAGGACAACTAAGTTCTCCCACTTCTATTTCCATACCAGGGCACTTATTTCTTTAGTTCTTCAAGGCATTCTAAATATATTTTGAACAGTGCAGGTGATAAACAGCAACCTTGCTTTAACCCTCTTGTAATTTTAAAACTTTCTGAAGCTTGATTTCCTACTTTAACAATATTCTGCGGGTTTTTTAAATATTACTAATGCCTCTTATTTATTTATTCTTTACGGAGGTTAGTCTTTGTCAAAACTTCAATAAGTTTTCTCAAGGGCACTGTATCTTAGGCCTTCTCGAGGTGTGCAAAGATTAGGTATGTGGACATATTTTGAGCATTCTTAATGTGAAAGTGCCGTGCATGCATGAACGTCCCGCACGAAAGCGATTATACTCTCTCATGTCTGAAAATTCCATTTCAATTCTTTTTTTTAAATACGGCCGTACAACCTTCCCAAAGAACTATTCACAATAATTTCTCTATAGTTTTCATAAGTCTTCTGATCTTCATTTTTGTAGATGTAATTTATGTGTGAGATATTCCAGTCTGCAGGTACCTATAGTGTGCCCAAAGGGGAGATAAATGGGTTAAATCGGTGTACAAACCTGGCATAAATTGATGGAAATCTTGGATAAATCAATATAAATCAGTTAATTTTTCCTTTATTCAGATGAAATCAACATAGATCAGTCCCGATTTATTCATCTCCAGATAAACTTCCTGGTAACTATCTGCAAGATAAATTTTACCATTCTATTATTCGATTGGTTGGCGAATAACTGGCCGACCAATGAGAATGCAAATTACGTTTTTATCCGACAGCTTGCATACCTGACACTTTATCAGAAGGTGAATAAACCGGACCTTGATTGAAATTCTTTTTAAATCACAATAAATCCCTAATAATCTAGGTAAATCTCTGAAATTCAAGAAAAGTCTCCAAAAACCGAGATAAATCACTTGTAAATCAGATTCAGATTCTTCATTCATGCTAATGTTTAATACAAAACTTACACAAGTGAATAATAAACAAATGTCCACATATGGAATTATAGATAAGTCATAAGATAATTTGACATTTACAAAACAATTACAACAGATTTAAAACAAGTAAAATACCTAAAACTAAAAAAACTAACAAGACAGGTCACTCTCCTCAAATTCATCCAATGAATAAAAAGCATTAGTAATTAAGATAGTTTTTATTTTTTCTTTAAATTGTTTTAGCGGAAGATCTCTAAATCAATGTGAATCCGTTTGAAAAGCGTTAAATTTATACACAAAATACAACAGACTTAACAACAAAGTCACGTGGTAAACCTGGAGATCATTATTCAATTCAAATCTCCACAAAATTACAATAAATCGCAACTTTTATAGCTCAATTTCAACTCTAGGTGAGCCTGGCATAGAATTTTTTTTTTCTTTATTTCAAATTCAGCCTCACGAGGGTCAAAAATGTACAAAAGCATAGAGCTGCCATGCTAATATTGAAATAGTTATTTATGCAACAAGTGTGTAAAGTGAACCTTTTTTCACGAATGTGAATTTTGACAATCACATGAGTGAAAAAAGGTACTTCACTGACAAAGCATGTTAGCTAAAATCTAAAAATGATTTACTATGTTTGCAAGACCGAATCATATTATTTTTGCATATATTTTTCCTATAACAGGAAGTAATGTAAGTAATCGGTCTATACCTAATTTTTGGGAAGTTTATGGTCCTTATGTGGTTTTGGTATATTAATTATGATACCTTTTTTCCATATCTCTGGAAATAGCTATTTACCTAACAAGTGCGGAAAAATATTTTCCGCAAGTCTTAGGTACAATATTTTTCCTACAGCCGTGCGGAAAAATCGATTTTCCGCACTGATATGCGTGCGGAAAATGAGTTTTTCCGCACGGTGCGGTAAAACTTTTTTTTTTGACATATCAGTGCGGAAAAAGTTTTTCCGCACGGCTGTCAGTGCGGAAAAAATTTTACCGCACTGATATGTCAAAAAAAAAAAATTACATTTTTTCGCCTGTAGGAAAAATATTGTACCTAACACTTGCGGAAAATATGATTCCGCACTCGGCTGCATCACGGAACTCCGCTACGCGTCGTTCGGTGAACGGCAGCCGCGTGCGGAAAAATTCATTTTTCGCACTTGTTAGGTAAATAGCTATTTCTTACAGGCGTAAAAATAAGGATGTTTTTCCCAATTATTTTCGTTTATTAGTAGTTGTCCACCTTCATTTTACCTTTACAGGTTTACCTTCGACATATGTCAAATCACCAAAAATAGTTGTATTATAGATTCATAACCTAGTCCATAACACCACTAGTTGTGTTATGAATTCATAACCTAGTCCAGTAGTCCATAACACAACTAGTTGTGTTATGAGTCTCATCATGACATAACTCAAATACTAGAAAAATGAGTATGTTAAAACATCATAACCAAACGCTTGTACATAAAGTGCACTTTACCGCATAGTGTGCGGTAAAGTAGAATTTGATATTTATAATCAAAATTCTTTTCTTTTTCAGAAAATGGATTTTTGATCATTTCTAAATCTAATCTTATTTCATTAATCAATCTGATTCATTAATTAATTTTGTTGATGCCTTTTTTTGGGGATGTAGATGCTCATAGTTAAAATTTTGTACCTAACACATGCGGAAAGTGCCTTTACCGCCCTTAACATCCTGACCGAACTCCGCATCGCGTCGTTCGGTCAACTGCCGTTGCGTGCGGTAAAGCATCACTTTCCGCATTTGTTAGGTAAATAACTATTCCACACTGACAGTCGTGCGGAAAAACTTTTACCTACGAGCGTGCGGTAAAGTGCACTTTACCGCACTTATTTGCAAATGGAAAGTGGCACTTTACCGCACACTATGCGGTAAAGTAAACTTTGGTATTTATCATTAAAAATCCTTTCTTTTCCAGAAAATGGATTTTTGATCATTTCTAAATCTAATCTAATTTCATTAATTAATCTGATTCATCAATCAATTTTATTAATGCCTTTTTTTGGAGATGTAGATGCTCATAGGTAAAATTTTGTACCTAATACATGCGGAAAGTGCCTTTACCGCACTTAACGGCTTGCCATTGCGTGCGGTGAAGTATCACTTTCCACATTTGTTAGGTAAATAACTATTTCCGCACTGATATGCGTGCGATAAAAGTTTTACCGCACCGTGCGGGAAAACTCATTTTCCACACGCATATCAGTGCGGAAAATCGATTTTTCCGCACGGCTGTAATAAAACATTTTTTGTTAAAACAGTATTCAAGAATTTTCATGATATACTCGTGGGCTGCAACTTCAAACTGCTTTACCACAGACCACGGAATGTTGTCTGATCCTGGTGCGCTATCTTTTTGTGAATTGATTATTTGATAATGTTCATTTGGGTCAAGAACTTCTTCAGGCCGATTCATTTCTAGTTGTTCGTTGAAAAATTCTGTGTACCATCTATTGATAAATACCTTATTGTCCATTTCAAAATCAGGATGATCGTTCTGATTGAAATGTTGCTCATAGTAATCGTGGAACTTTTTAACTTTTTCTTGATCCATAGAATATGTGATGCCCTCGGTGATGCCATTTTCTTCCAGATCTGGAACTATCGAGGAGACCTTGTAGCATGTGAATTTACATATTTTTAAATAAATTTTTTTGCCTTGTTCTACATTTATTTCCTGGCAGGTTTGAAGCCACGAATTGTTTTTGTATTTGAAGATCAACACCTGAATATCTTTAACAAAGGACCCCGCAATATTTAAATGGAAATTGGTTACCCGTGATATTTGGATGAAATTTAAATAAAGTTTTTTTTTTTTTTAAAGATAATTCCCCAAGTCAAAAATTTAGTAACTATGTTGGCAACACAAGCCTTTTCTACATAAAAAATTTGAAAGCTTGACAATTTTACATTGTATTGCCAACAGAATGTCATTTTGACTTTTATCTTTAAAAAAAAAAACAGATTTTATGTTATTGGGGATGCGGGATGCCGTAAGCAACATTTTTTACCATGGGCACAACCCTGTATATATGACAGGTGAGGCGTGGTTAGCTGTCAAATATTGGAATCTTATATCCAAAAGCAGAGCAACTATGGCAGATTTTGGTGAACAAAAAATCTATTTCTACTAATTCGACCAAGTTAAGTCGAAAAATGTCAACCATTTTGACACCTGTCAAAACCCTGCCAAACGACAGCATTCATCTGTTCCAGTTTTCAATATTTCATGATGTCATTTGACATTTTTAACTTGTATGTAAATTCTGAATTCAAAAATTGAAAAAAAAAAATTGATAGAACTGTCAAAATGATATCATTGTAGATTTCATTTGTAAGTGTCAAAATGTTTGAGTACTTTAATTATTTCATTATAGTACTGAGTATTATAATGATTTCATTAAAGTATTAAAAAAATTCACCGGTATATAAAATCCTTTATACTAAAACTACGTACCTACTTTAAAATGAAAATCGACATCTCTGTCAAAATCTGAAACCTGCGTATAGTGTTTTTTCATGCGTTATCATAAATAATCCCAACTTAAATTGGAAAAGAACTAGAGTTGGTTTTTTTTTTTTAAATTAAAGCTATTGACAGATTCTGACAGCTGTCAAAATGTGACGTGCATGAAGTTTGTTCAATGTTTTATCACCAATAAACTACCTTAAAACGAGAAGAACCAGATTAGAGTATTTTTTTCTACTAAAACAAATGACAGGTTTTGACAGTTCTGTCATTTTTTTTTCAATTTTTACATTCAAGTTAAAAATGTCAGATGACATCATAAAATATTGAAAACTGGAAAAGATGAGTGCTGCCGTTTGTCAGGGTTTTGACAGGTGTCAAAATGGTTGACATTTTTCGACCTAACTTGGTCGACTTAGTAGAAATAGATTTTTTCTACAACTGTCAAAAAATTATGATGTTCGCACACTCATGACAGTTTGCGAAGTGACACTTTTTTTCACAGGTATTGATTTTTTAACGTTTCCATGACGCCGTGCGCGAACTAGCTATTTCGCGCACGTGTGCGCGAAATAGCTAGTTCGCACACTGGGTGTCATGGTGACACATACCTGTCAGGAAATCAAAAATAATTAAAATTCACCTACCTTTGATTGAAAATGCAATTTTGTCTTCGAATGATTGATATTTAAATGGAGTTGTAGAAAAAATATTGTTTGCAACTCGGGCGCGAAATACCAAAGTAGCATTTCGCGCCCTTGATACAAAAATAACTATTTTGTTCACCAAAATCTGCCATAATTACTCTGCTTTTGGATATAAGATTCCAATATTTGACAGCTAACCACGCCTCACCTGTCATATATACAGGGTTGTGCCCATGGTAAAAAATGTTGCTTACAGCATCCCCAATAACATATTTAAATTTCATCCAAATATCACGGGTAACCAATTTCCATTTAAATATTGCGGGGTCCTTTGTTAATTTTGGTTTTTATTTCTGGATTTGGCCTGGCATAGTATTCCCTTAACATTCTCCTTTTTTCCTTAATTAATCTGACTATGAATGGTAGTCGAGGATAAGAAAAGTTTCAATTTTTTATAAGTGGAGTATTTTCTTTAATAATTTCAGATACTTTGTTGCTAAAGTCTGTGATTTGGTCTGTGGTTATTATTGACTGTTCCTGCTGTTTTATGTATTTGATTAGGTCTGTATTGATCTTCTGTATGTTGAATTTTTTGTAATTATGTTTGACTGTTTTATCCTCTGTTAAGATGTGTTCTAGGACAAATTCTATTTTGAATTTGAAATTTAATTTAAAACGTTTTAAATGTTTTAACGAATTTGAAAACGGTTTAAATACACTGCTTATGACATTTAAAAACTGTTTTGGGGAAAACCCCATATTGTTTGTCGATTTTTAACTGACACTTTCCGTATGAGGAGCGAGGGGGTGTTTCATATGGCAAAAACAGGTGTGACGTCACGTAACCATTGGCGTTCTAATGTAGGGAGCCACCAGCTCACATTCCATCCGAAAATCAGTTTAAAATCGACGGACTATAGAAGTATTAATACAGGTCACAGGATAAAACGTTTTAAGTTCGAAAACGTTTTGGCGGCTAAAATGGTTTAAGGGAAGCATAAACTTGGTATATGAAAATGATATACCAAATTGAAGTAAACAAAATTACCTACAAATGGTATAATAACTCTAAAGTCTCGACAATCCATAAAGTCGTCCGAAAATGGCATTTCTTGACTTTCCTCTAAAAAAGTTGACAACGTTGTTCTAACTGAGGTTTTGATAAAAGGAAACATATTAGAAATAAATTGGTATTTACACAAAAACGCAAATATTATGGTTTATAGTTGAATTCACGATAGAGGTTGAATTTTGACTGTTATTTTCACCAGTTGAAAGTAAATAAAATCCCCAGATCTGTCCCTTTTTCTGTCAACTATCGAATAATTATACATGACATTTCAATTTGACATATAAAAATATCATATTCGGATCTTTGAATTTTGAATTCCAATTGTTGTGTGAAATCGTTTCAGTGTTTTGTCGTTCTCTGCATTATTTTTTGTTGTTTTGACTATCGATGTTTTGGTTTTTTATATAGTGTTCTATGCCTTTGCGTTTCGGTATTGCGTTTCAAACCTGGTTTTAGTTTGGTTTTAAGTGTTTACTCTTTTTCGAGCTCTTTTTATTACTCTTTACTGTTTACTTTGGACTCTTTTAAGACTAAAGGATAAAGGAAACGCAACGGTAATCACTAATCATGAACGTGACTGACTATGAAACAAAAATTTCTGAGCTAAAGTGTGTTTTTTTTTTCAAAGATAAAAGTCAAAATGACATTATGTTGGCAATACAATGTAAAATTGTCAATGCTTTCAAGTTCTTATGCAGAAAAGTTGTGTTGCCAACATAGCTACTAAATTTTTGACTTGGGGAATTATCTTAAAAAAAAAAACAGAATTTACTAGACCATGTCCCATGTACAGGGTGCTGCAATTTGGTGTGTTTTAACAAGAAAAACATACTTCCAGACCAGATAGAGGAAAATTGACTTAGGTGTCATGGGATTAATTTTCGAGAAACGTCGATTGCCAAAAACCGTATCACGATATCTTCAATAGTACCATCGATACAGAGCGATTTTCGATTTTCCCCTATTATGAAAAATAGCTATAAGTTTTTCATTTATCAATTTTTTGGAGACACTTTTTTGAGCACAATCCAGTGATGGACTCAGTTTTTTTCTATATCGCTCCGATTTCGAGATATCGACCAAAGTCCGATATTTTCAAATGAAATACCCTATATATTAAAAGCTCATTGGATAGCTTTGTTTTTGCTGATTTCAATTCTATGAAGTTCGATAGGTTTATTTCTAACAGTTTTCAAGAAAAAAAATTATATCTGTTTTTGTCGTAAGGATCAATGTGTTAGAAAAGGATTTTATATGTGTAAGGAAAATGGGGAAGGTCTCTTTCTAACGCATTGTTTCTTATGACAAAAACAGATATAATTTTTTTTCTCGAAAACTGTTAGAGATAAACCTATCGAACTCTATATCATTGAAATCAGCAAAAACAAAGTTATCCAATGATCTATTAATATATAGGGTATTTCATTTGAAAATATCGGACTTTGGTCGATATCTCGAAATCGGAGCGATATAGAAAAAAACTGAGTCCGCCACTGCATTGTGCTCAAAAAAGTGTCTCCATAATGTTTTTACAGAAATAAAAAAAAATTGATAAATAAAAAACTTATAGCTATTTTTCATAACAGGGGAAAATCGAAAATCGCCCAGTACCAGTGGTACAGTTGAAGATATCGTGATAAGGTTTTTGGCAATCGACGTTTCTCGAAAATTAATCCCATGACACCTAAGTCAATTTTCCTCTATCTGGTCTGGAAGTATGTTTTTCTTGTTAAAACACTCCAAATTGCAGCACCCTGTACAGTTGCGATCAAAAAAAAAGCAGTACAAAAATTATTAACTCCAATTTGATCTCCCGGTGTAACATACAAAATTTTGACAGTAAATAAACAGGCAATGACATATTCTAGGTTAAAAACGGTTGGAAAAATGCCACAATAATGTCATCTGAAGCTTTCTAGGTTAGAAACTTGTCGAAAAATGCCAAAAATATGTCATTTTTGGTTATGAATTAAATTAATGTATAACAAACCAGGAGATTTTGGAGATTTTTCTTGTACTACTTTTTTTTTATCGCAACTGTACCTATGTATATTCTAATTAATAAAAAAATTTTAGGGTCTGAAAATGACTTGACCAATAAAATTTAGTGCAAATGCAACAAATATTAAGAGGTATTAAGCTTGTTCTATTATTACAGATGTTTATAATTAGGTACTATACAGGATTTTAATAACTTAACTTCCTAAGAAATTTAAAATAAATTTTTATTCTGAAATCTGAACTGTACATCACTTTTCTAAATACGACCCTGTCGTTTTTCCCAGCTGATGGAATCGAAGCCCTAACGCATGCTGGCAACCTAAAGAAAAAAGTTACTAGAAATGTCAACGCGAACTGTCAACTTCACGTTCTATCGTGATTTCAACTATATCATTAGGTCTGTTCCAACCCACCAAAAAACCGTCCCAAAAACGATTTCGGAATCACTCTGTATGCGAATTTCGGATTCTACACACAAATTTTACGTTTTGCGCATAATTCTGATAGTGAAAAGTACGGTTAACCGCTGGGATGCAACAAATCTAGTTAGTTTTCAAGTTATAGTTCAAAACCTGAGAAAAGTTACAAAAATTTAAGGTTTTTTGAAATTTTCCTTGTGAAGCTGTTGTTTGGACAGGTGGCAAAACTCAAATTCGGATTCAGCACCCTTAAAAACATAAAGAACCGAGAAAAAAATAATAAAAAATCCTGGAAACGCGGTTTCTCAACCTTGGGTGACTGAACTACAAGCAAATAAAATTTATTCATTTGGGTATTTGAATAGGTAAAGTGAAATAGGTATCTAGAAATAAATAAATTCCTTATTAGAGATAATAATGTGTAAATAGGAGTCAATAACGCTGACGTAGGTGAAAATAATAATGAAATGGTATTAAAGTATTAAATACAGATGAATTGGTTTGGTTTTCTTTATTTGGCCAGGGATATACAAATAATGTTATTTTATGTTCTTAAGCTCTTTATTGATGTGATGAAGCTGATTACCTTGACATAAAATACATCTTTTATTATTTGCTGCTGGTGTTCCTCATATAACAATAAATCTTAATTCGACGCCATACAGATAATTTTATTGTTATTAGTATGCACTTGAATGAATCAGTAAAGTGCGATAATTTCTTATATCCTACTTATTGTAGAGTTTAGGCATACCCTACTTATAGTCCAGGAGGTGGCGCCAAAAACATGCAAGAGTTTTCGCAAGGCGGATATTTTCAAAATAGGTCGTACTTTAGTGCTAGAATGCTAGTGTACAGTCAGCACTCACAGTTCCGGGACAGCTGGGTCTGGGACGCGGGCAAAGTTGTAATTTTAAGAAGCATCTAAACTGTTTTCTCAAAGCTCAAAATTTATAGAAATTTTGCACATTATCTGTTTGAAGGTCACAGATAACGTATGTAAATCGTCAGACGACTAGTTCGTTGCAAAAAGGGGGTCAGACGTCCTCAAACTTTTTATTTTATGGCATTTTCTTCAAATATATTTGTCAAATACCTGCAAAAATATATTTTGACAGGACACCGAAGAAAATGCCATAAAATAAAAACTTTGAGGACGTCTGACCCCCTTTTTGCAACGAACTAGACGTCTGACGATTTACATACGTTATCTGTGACCTTCAAACAGATAATGTGCAAAATTTCTATAAATTTTGAGCTTTGAGAAAACAGTTTAGATGCTTCTTAAAATTACAACTTTGCCCGCGTCCCAGAGCCAGCTGTCCCGGAACTGTGAGTGCTGACTGTACACTAGCATTCTAGCACTAAAGTACGACCTATTTTGAAAATATCCGCCTTGCGAAAACTCTTGCATGTTTTTGACGCCAGCTCCCCAACTATTAGGATAAAGACATGACCTGATCAAATCTGACAAAGGTTTCTATTAATTATGTAGTTGCAGTTAAAAACCTCTCTACAGATACAAAAACTGTTAAAAAAACGTCAACTTACGCTTATTTAGATTTATTTTAAACAAGGAAACAAATTTTTGATCATGTATAAAAGTAATCTAAAGAAGTAAGCGGATATGAAAATCAAATGAATAGAAGAAACACAGAATAAAATAATAATTTAATGAAGTTCCTACCTTTTTTCTGCATTGTTTCCAGTTCTTCTACTTGAACGTCTCGGCTAGTTGAAGAATCTTCTAATATTTCTTGAGGTAAAGAACCAGAACCAGAAGACACACTTCCAGACACAGAACTCTAAAGGAACAAATTTATCAGTTATTCTTCATTTTAATGATTGATTCCGATGAATTCATCAATTACCTGGTATATTTGATATTAGTATTGAATTAAGTTAAATCCGCATCGGGGTTCTTAGTTATTTGCATTTGATTTTGCCACTTTTTAAAATTTCATATTTTATGTTTATTTTTTTGACACGTTGAAGTAGATGCTAAAATCAGCTGTCCTTGGATGTTTTCATTTTAAACTTCAAGATCTACTCCGAGCAGCTCGGGACCCAGTTTCTCGACCTATCAGATACAAATTGGAATCTTTGGTGTTCTCGTCTCGCGTTCGACCGACTACCAAAACGAATAAGGGCGGGTATTATAAAACTACTGTGAGAGTTAACTTAAAGTTAACTTCTGGAATTACATGTAATTCAAAATTGAATTTGTGATTAGTTTATGTGGTCCGCTCTTTAAACGAAGATAATGCAGAAAGCACTGAGAGTAGATTACTTACACTGCGTTTCCGGCCATTATTTAGCTACAACTTTTTTCATTAGGCGATTTCGGCAAGCTTTGGTTGGTATACCATTTGGTTAACCAATTGGTACCTGCAACGTCATAGTAATGACGTAAGATACCATTTTGTTCCGAATTCGTTTGGTAGGTCATAGGAGAGGGGAAGAGACGAGCCTTAACCTAACTTTGTGTTGTTCTTCTAGTTTTGGGAGTGACTAGGTACTAACTGCACTGACTAAAATGTATAATCACTAATCAGCACTGTCTAGACAGTACCTTTGAGTAACTCAGCGTTTTCTGTAAATTTAAAGCTGTTAAAGTTACCTCATATCTGTCGTTCAGAGCCGTTTTTCAAATGATCGTCAAACATTATTTGGCAGTCAAAACATACGAGAAATCAGGAAGATGAAGGCGAAAAAACAAACATATTTGTTAAAAATTTCAAATTATTCAAATTCTAATGAACTTCCATTTATTTACATTTTCCAGAGCAGGACAAAACGAAAATAGACGTAGATAGCACTATACCAAATAGAAGAACCGTGCTGCTGACCACGGTATCCTATTTGACAGACCAAAAAGGATACCAAAGTCACGGTGACGACATCATTTTCGTATCCGAAATTGGTTGGTATGCATTTGACAGACCAAACAGGGTACCAAACCATGTACCAAAGCTTGCCGAAATCGCCTATTTATCTCTGCAGGAAATCGAAATTAATAGATAATTTCATGTGGAACCGAACCTATGCCTATGATGACGCTTTTGATTTCGCACTGAGGGCAACAAAAGTGCAGTCAAATCGAAATTGCTATCAGCGCCATTTCCACTACCCATCTGTCATAGAAATACCTAACCTAACTTTTCTAAGAAAATTAAACTAAAAATTCTATTTTCAATTTATAATAAAGTTAAACTAAAAATTAGAAGGCAATACAACCATGATACGTAACGATCTTATACGAAAAATTTTCCAAATCCAAAAAAATATAGTTGCGCATAGACCGAGTTCCACACAAATTAATATCCAAAAACTAGAAACGGAGCAAGAATCAACCCAAGGTAAAACTACATATAATTCATTTCAAATATACCAAGTAATAATAACTATTCTAGTGAACGATGACGAGGAAATGAGGCTCAGAGATGAAGAGCTTGAACTTAAGAGAAATAAGTCTCGTCTTAGAGATCAACACTATAAAATGTTGCATGAACAAAATCCTTACCCTGAGGCGCAGCTCTGGCATCATGGCACTTTGAAGCACTTAAGGCGAACTTATGGGAGGTATGGTGCTGCTTCAGGAGTGGATCCTAAACTGTGTTGGCCTGTGAATGTAAGTTATGTGATACTTGATACTTGTAGGCTGTTCATTTGTACTGTTTTTCTTGCTTCAAGCAGATCGGAGTTCACTTGTCCCATATAGCTCATAAATAGCAGCTCCTAGCAGATCTTTCTGATTTTTCGAGCAGGTAAAGCAAGTACAAATGAACAGCCTATTGATATGGTCCTTAAAGAATAGTTTCGTAAGTGAGTACCAACTCTTATTTTGCCCACCTAATCTAAGTATTTTTGGAGGTATTTTACTTCTTGCAAAGATAGGCTAAAGTGGATCTTTTATTCTGTTCTATTATTGTTGGATTATTATTATAATTTTGGAGATCACAAAATATCCAATATGTCTGTTGAGAATCAATGTGTAAATTTGGCACCTTCTTCTTCCTTGACATTGGCATGTCATGATTTTGTCTTTTCTAATAATAGTCCGAGAGCCAGCGCCAAAAAAGTGCAAGAGTTTCATGAAAGCTGAAAAAGTAATATAAGCTTGTATTTGTGATGTATGTAACTATACTCGAGTCAGCAAGTGAGGTAGCGGGACAAGCTACGCCCACGCACCTTTGAATGTGTAAAAAATTAATCGTGATGAAAGAGTTTCATGACATCTGAAAATTTCTCAATCCATTGTTTATTTGATAAAAAACATGACGGACATGGTCAGATAGCATTATGTTAGGACAACTAGAGTCGTACTGATTTTTGACTTTGACAACGTTTTCAAGGTTATTTCAAGGTCAACTCTCTTTTTTTCAATGGAAATATATTTTTTTATTACAGAATCTTATTCTACAGAAAAAAACAAGTAACTTTTACTTGAAACATTTTTCGATTCGGTTTCAATTTAACCTGATAAAAAATCGAAAAGTAGAGAAAGGTTACCAAAAATACCTCAAAAAATATAACAATTGATCAAATTGACGACCGCCAACTTCAACACACTTGTTAATTCGCTGTAAAAAGCTTTCATGGCACCAAATTACAGTTTCTTTACTGACAGCTCTAAGCATTTCTTATGTGTTCCATCATATTATCGGGTGTTGTGGGAACCTCTTGATAAACTGTGTGTTTGATTTTTAAAGTGATTTGACAAGTGTGTTGAAGTTGGCGATCGTCATTTTGATCAATTGGTATAGTTTTTGAGGCATTTTTGGTAACCTTTCTCTACTGTTCGATTTTGTGAGGAGAAAACAAAAAAATGATTCGTTTTTTTTTATCAGCTTAAATTGAAACCGGATCGGAAAATGCTTCAAGTAAAAGTTACTTGTTTTTTTCTGTAGAATAAGATTCTGTAATAAAAAAATATATTTCCCTTGAAAAAAAAGAGTTGACCTTGAAATAACCTTGAAAACATTGTCGAAGTCAAAAATCAGTACCGCCATTTGGTTTCCCACATGATACCATGCAACTTTTATTTGAACTTTTTTTTTCAAAAACGCACCGTTTTCGAGATATTAGACTGTCTCAAGTTAAATGGACCACCCTGTATAGGCATGCTGACTCTAGTTGTCCTAACATAATGCTATCTGACCATGTGCGTCATGTTTTTTATCAAATAAACAATGGATTGAGAGATTTTCAGCTGTCATGAAACTCTTTCATCGCGATTATTTTTTTACACATTCAAAGGTGTTTGGGCGTAGCTTGTCCCGCTACCTCACTTGCTGACTCGAGTATAGTTATATACATCACAAATACAAGCTTATATTACATTTTCAGCTTTCATGAAAGTCTTGCACTTTTTTGGCGCTGGCTCTCTGACTATAAAGGTCGCAGTTTGGTTTCAGATACGATTAGGGTTGCCACCTGTCCAGTTTTCACCCGGACTGTCCGCTTTTTTAAAGGTTTGTCCGGTGGGTAATTGTTTAGTATATCCCCAACATACAATTTGGACTAAATTTTATAGATATGATCAAATTAGTGTCTAAATAGATAATTTCTACTAAAATAATTTGGCGCAAATGATTTTTTAAATCTAAAAAAAAAATACGTTTATATAAGTAAAATATACGTTGGGGATTGATTAAATCATTACCCCTAACTTAATATTTAGTATATCCCCAACACCTAACATTGACATAATTTCGAGGACTAGCACGCATTGCGGGAACAGGTTAATTTGGGTTAGTTTGCAACAGTTTGATTAACGGGCTAGCCCGTAAGGAGATTCTTTACTGTTAGAGGTAGAGCTCAATAAAGAGATGTTTACAATTCTAGATATCATAATAGTTATTTACCTAACAAATGCGGAAAGTGATACTTTACCGCACGCAACGGCAGTTGAACGAACGACGCGAAGCGGAGTTCGGTCAAGCCGTTAAGGGCGGTAAAGGCACTTTCCGCATGTGTTAGGTACAAAATTTTACCTATGAGCATCTACATCTCCAAAAAAAGGCATTGATAAAATTAATTAATGAATCAGATTAATTAATAAAATTAGATAAGATTTAGAAATGATCAAAAATCCATTTTCTGAAAAACAGAGGATTTTTGATTATAAATATCAAATTCTACTTTACCGCACACTATGCGGTAAAGTGCACTTTACCGCACACTTTGTATTCTACTTTACTGCATACTATGCTGTAAAGTTAACTTTACCGCACACTATGCGGTAAAGTGCACTTTACCGCATAGTGTGCGGTAAAGTGATACTTTCTATTTGCAAATACGTGTGGTAAAGTGCACTTTACCGCACGCTCGTAGATAAAAAAATTTGTAGCAGCAATTTCTTCATAAAGTCATAGTGAGCTTTGCACTCTGTCTTAGATTTTCATAAGCTATCATTTGACACCAACTTTGAATTTAACCAAAGATTAATAATTTAGGCGGAATTTTTAATCATGGATTAAATTCAAGATTGGTGCCAAATGATAGCTTATGAAAAACTAGGATAGGAATGTAAAATCCGTTTTCTTGTAAAATTAACCGTTCAGGTTTTACAGTCTGTCAAAGATGCAAAAAAGTCAGTTTTCAACTGTCAATATTTCCGAAACAGTTGAAGATAGGTATATGACATCGTACATGAAATGTGTCTAGAATTTTCCGCAGAATCCAGAAATGTCATAATATACAGGGAGAGTCATTTGAAAAAAACATAACTTTGTGTCACTACTAGTTATTGGGCCACCCTGTATACTGGAAAATAATTTAGGAATGTAGTACTCATGTTTATCTACAAGTTTTGTAGTGTTTTCTCCGATCTCCGTTAGTATCCGTTAGTATAGGAGATATGGACCACCGCGCGCTTAGTAACTCACCCTATCAGACTTATTCGAAAAATTTATATCATTGGCGCTTTCCATAAGAACTAAATGTGTTTAAGAGAGACAGAGATAGAAAATTTTGGTAGG